GATGATTGATTAGCCACCTCAACCACGGGGGACATTTAAGAGAGTGCGATGGATGTGCACACACAGAGCTCCTCAAATTTTCTTGTGAAGCCGAAAGGGAAACTAAAGAGCATTCAAAACATTTCGGGGCGTTCCTTGAGTTTATCTGCCAGCACAAAAATCATGCAAGTTTGCCATAGCCGAGCAAAGTTTCCAGACAGCTCAATAAACATTTTGCGGAGAGCTGTCAATATGGCTTAGGCGTCCTCTAGTGGCACCTGCACCGCACTTCCATTGAAAGAAGAGCTCATTTGGCTTCCTGAAAGGTCTCCCATCTTTTTCCAAGTCCCCTTCTGTTGGGCCTTTTCATTTTCCTAAACAAATTAAACATGAAAAGAAAATGAAAAATAATTGGCTTGGTTTGTTTTCCTCTTAGTAAAACACAATGGAGAAGAGCAGATAAAACGGTGCACCTGATCCTTCTAATTAATGCAATTTCCAGAGGAGAAAACAGAAACGCACATGGAGGCAGGGCACCTTTCTCTATAGCATTTAAATATCAGAATAAACAGCTGTAGGGCACTTATGTCATTAAACAACCCTCCTGAAAAAGAGCGAATGCTTCCCAGCATGTTGTATGCATGAATTGGAGTACCCTATGCCTGAAGCGGAGGCTGAAGAGGTGGGTTTTTCTTTGAACCTGTTGAAGTATTTAATAGAGCTGCACAAACTTGGTTGTTTTATTGCACAAGGATTTGTGCAACTTTTTCTTTTTTTTTTTAAACAGCTCTACTATCATGCTGCCTCAAATTGGGGCACGAGAGCTAAAAAGGCCTTGCATTTCAAAATGAAACTGAGCCCAGACATACAAAACTCAGCATATCACATGGTTTTACAATGGAAACCAAAACTTTTCCAGGAAACTTCAAGCGAACCCAGGGCCTCAATCAGGCCTCCCAAAACTTGATGCACTCACTAGAGATAAGTTTACCGCAAACCTGGACCTGAGTCTTCCTTGGAAACCTCAGCAGCCTCACTTGCTAAGTGAGACGGGAGTAGCCACACACAAAAAAGTGACTCATAAGTTTCAGGAAATCTCATAAGTTTTTGTTTCTTCATAAAAATCTCCAGCTTGATGCATTTTATCTGGGCATTAGGAAGGGTTTGCTTAAGTCTAGTCAGAGCCTTTGGTCTAAGTGGAGATAGATCATCCACTGGTAGTTGAGCTGGGGAGTTTACTGGATCTATTCAATAATCTCTGCTCTCCAGAAAATCCAGGTGGTCATCGTGCCCCTGAATGGGCACTAGTCCAGGTCTTAGAGGGCTCAGACTTTGCGTTCAGGCTCTTGTCTGTGCCTGTCCTCTACAGGTATGGCTCCTGGAGATGAATGCAAACCCTGCTTTGCACACCAACTGCGAAGTCTTGAAGCACATCATCCCCACCGTGGTTAACGAGACTCTCGGTAAGTAGGCCAGCACCGTGGTGCCCGCACACCCCAGCCGTGCCCTTTTCAGCACCCCCCATGACAGGTGCCTGCAGGGACCAAAGGCACAACAGTGGGTCCCTGTGGCCTTATGTGTTATTTAAACCAAATCTTAGCTCTGTTATATAAAATAGAGCAGAGAGAATCACTCTAGCCACTTTGTCAAGGCCCTTGAGAACAATAATCACAGTTTAATGCCAATTACAAACAATAGACATCTTGGCATCAGTGGATGCTGCTATGGTCCCATCAAAAACATTTAAATGACTTAGAAATCGAAGGAGCCCTGGATCTTCAGTGAGACTTGTGCCTCTAAGGCATTTAGGTACTTTGGAAAATCCCACCCTCACTTGGCACCATTAGAAATGTTGTCGTTGTTTTAGCCAGCTCCTCATACAGGGCAGAAATCTGCTCAGGCCAGACCTTGGAAGTGTTTTTCTCATACCTTTCTTTAAAATGTATGGGCTGCATTTTCACACACATCATCCCCGCCTCCCCGCACATATCTGAAAGGGCCCCTTGACCCCTGCATATTATTTTGCATGCACAGAAATTAAGAAATGCTCATGCAGTTTGCATCTATGCACATGGTGTGAGCATTCGGATGCCTGTTCACCCCATTAGCACATGAAAATATAAATGGCTTAAAAAAAAAAGTGAACTTGATGCCAATGGCATACATTATATAGATGCTGTCTATGGCCTGGTGTGCATGTGTATGTTTGCACAAGTAATGCCATGGCTTTGTTTTCTTTCATAGATATATGGCTTCCTTGTATGCGTGCGTGTGCATGCAGGTTCATGCAAGGGGACTTGTACATGTCCCCATTGCTTTTCCTTTCAGTGTCCCTTGTGCACTGTGCAGTGTAGCGTGTATTTGTGCAGAGGTGTGTAGCCATGTCATGCTCATATCTCCCTTTGCAGATTTGGCTCTTGAGATTTTCAAGAAGTGCTTGAAATGCCAGAGGATATTACCACTGGAGACACTCTGCCATTTTGTGCTGCTCTACAATGGGGATGCTCCTGGATCCAGATCCTTAAAGACAAAAAATGCCATGCGTCCCACAAAAAGCCAGAAGTCACTTGCAGAGAGTACCAGCCCACCCACTCAGACCCCTACCAGGGCAATCGAGAAACCTCCCAAGAATCCCACTTCCCCATCTACCAAGTTTTCCCAGAGAACAGTCTTAAGCATGCCACAAGTGCAGATCTCCAGCACGCACAGCCTGTATTGCTACCGCCCAGAGAAATCCGCCTTCCGACCCGGCCAGGTGAGCAGCACCTGCCATCAATACGTTATCAAGCCTGTGGGGGTCTCAGAGAGCCTCGTAAAGCCCAGTGCGGATGATGGTTCTGACAAGGACAAAGCCAGTACCATCGTTCCTACAGTGGCTGCTTCAAAAGATACCTCTTATGGCGCCTGGTTACAGCAAACCTTCAAGATTCAACCTTACACCGCCACCAAAGAGGACCTGAGCACTGTCACCTTGACCAGCTCCCAGATGGTGTCTCTGCATCTCCAGTCCATGGTCCCCGACAGCTGCCCATGTTTGAAAGGCTACAACAAGCCCCTCCATCAAGCCACCACCCACTCTGTAGCCCAGGGGACACGGCTGACCCATGAGAGCATGGCAGCTACTGCGCCCCAGTGCTCCGAGTCACCTCAGGACAACAAGAAGGTGTCCCATCGCGCGTCTTAGCCTGAGATTACTGTGTATTGAACGTGTGGTGCTTTCCTATAAAGGACAGAGCCCTGCTCCAAAACGCTCGATATCTGTGACATATCTAAGCATTTCATGGAATCATTTGCTGATTTTTAAATGCTAATTTTTTTTACCTTAAAAAAACAAAAAGGAGAGATCATTATGCAACTCACTGGTAAGCGAGCTGCCATGTAACACTTGCTCCCCCAGTCACTCGGATTCCTCCTCCCCTCCTTCCCAGAGCCACAAATTAAGGAAGAAATACCACTGTGCTTTGGTTGCGGAAACAGTAATAGTATGCTATAAATCCCTGGCATGAGATTGAAAGCCCCAACTCTGATGTCCTCTCCTACAGCATATATTTTAATGTTGGGAGAAGCCGAATCAGCAATACTCTTGTATCGCATTGTGTGTCCTGTATCATTATATTTGCAACATGCTGTTTAATCATGTGTTATGCTGTATCTATGCACATGTGTTATCGTTTATACACCACGCACTCGGTGTCCATTATTGTCAGCGATGAATATAATAGCATTGCTTTGGCTGGCAAGATTTACCCACCCTTTCTTGTATGGGGTAGGAAATAGTTTTGCAGTGGTGCTTCCTACTTCCACCTGAGATGAATCGTACCCCACCTCCCACCCGCAGAGATGGATGGAGGATCCTTGTACCCTCCTGTCCTGCAAGTGGAAATGCAAAAAATAGCCATCTAGAAGAAGGGAACTTCCTTGCCGCTCTCCATCACACACACACATAAATCACTGCTTCTTCTAGCTCTAATGCCTCCCTCAGCAGTTTGAAGGTTATAAATCTAGCATTTACTCCATGCCGGCTGAGCGGAGGCACTGGCCTGTCTTCCAAAAGCTGTGGAAGGAGCTTCCTTGGTTGTTTCAGAGCTGGCAGGCTTCCTCCCCAGGTGCTAAGGTCACTGGTGTAGAGCAGGGTCCCCAGTCACCTTGCTGCCTAGACCTGCTGCAAGTCATCTTGGCTAAGACAGCCACGGTTGATCTAGAGCAGATGTCCCATAGATGTCATCAATTTTTAGGGTCGGAAGGGACCTCGGCAGATCATCGAGGCCGACCCCCTGCCCCTGGGCAGGAAAATGCACTGGTGCTGCTGAAGGACTTGCACCAGAGCTATTTTAACACAGAGATTTTTCAAGATAAGAAAAAGTAGTGCATGAAAAAGGAATTTGCCATGAGGGGAGGGTTAGTGAAAACACTCACTTCACGTGCACTTCAGTGGAGGGAGAAGGAGGGGTTGTAAGTGCCTGAAACTGCATATCCCGGAGCATATAACATGGGCCCAAGTCTTGTCTTATTCCTATTAAAATCAGTGGAGTCACTTCAAAGACAGAAATGAGAAACCTTGGACAGCAATGGCTTTAAAAGACCTGCGGAGTGGTGGTGGGTCAAAGAGAAAGAAAGAAAAATCAGGGCCTGGATGCAGCCGTCTGGAAGTTGGGGGCTGAGTTTGGATTAGACAGTCCCACTTCAAGGTTGGGGTCTAGACTGAAGGGCACCTGCATTGCTCAGGTTTCAATTTGGTAGAAATGAAACCATCGGAGGGAGAATAAGTTGGCTGACGTGCTGCAAAAATAGCAGCGTTTCCACCCATGAGATTTCAGCACTGTTAAATTTGCACCCAACAACTTAGATCCAAATCCAAGCTCTTATTCATCTCTTATCTCTGCTGACCCTGGGTTTACCTCTATTCCTGAATAATGCTAGTGGGCTGGTTACGGAAAGATAATGCGGTAATGACTCCACATACCGCAGTAATTCTGAGGAAGAGTTCAAGCTGCTTTGCTGTAGCAATGCTATGGTCAACAGGGCTCTCCATCTTTAGCCCACTGAGTGACTCTTACAGCCCAGGTCAGGCACAAACGACCATTTTGCAAATCTTTTCCACATTTCTCAAGAAACTTAGTGCAATTCAACAGAAACCATGAGGCACTGCTTTCTGAGATGGGAGAAACCAGATGTAGTTTGCTCTGGGGGCGGTTGATATCTCTTCAGAATATCAGCAGACCAACCTCTGCAGCTGCATCCTGCCCTTTCAGTTCCTCGAATATCTGTGCATTAAAAAAAATGCTGTTTATATTAACCCCTTTTCTTGTCCACAAATACAGGTCCCAAGGTACATTAAGTAAGCAGTTTCCTGCTGGTGAACCCTGATGAAACCCATATCTCAAGGCCCCCAGACTTTGAGGGGTGCCAGGCCAGGTTGCACAGGCCCCCTCTGAAACATGTTCAGCCAAAACCCAGATCCTACCAGTACTGGGTCTTTAGGAGCTTCAGGTTCACATCAGAGCATTGCACCTCGGGCTCATCTCTCATCAGAGCCCCGAGAAGAGTCCAACAGACCCATCCACGGGATTCGCAGCTGCAGGAAGACAAAGGCCAAACCAGTTCAGTGCCCGTCTCCCCTCTTCCCTTTCCACAATAGCCCCACTCTTCTCTTTCCTTGCCCTATCCCTCCTTCACCCATTGCCGTCTTGAAAGAGGCCCCCTTCCCTTGCCTCACTTACCCACTGCTCAGATGGTGAGAGATGACAACTGGCCCCTCACCCTCCATTTTCCTCCTCCTGCCTCCAAAAATCCCCCAAATCTAACCAAGCTAAACCAAAACCAAAACCCAAAGTAAATTAGTTTTCTACAGTTTCAGAAGTTTGAGAGGGAAGACGCCTGTTTAATTTATTCAATGCCCGTCCCCCACATTGGAGACCTGCTGCAGCCTCACTTTAAGTAGACGTGGTCCAGTCCCATTTCAGACTGGTGGAGCGATGGGCTTCGCATCATGCTCCAGGGAAAACCGTTCCACACCAAGACCCCGCTGGTTGGAAATGTGTCCAAAAATCTGCCCTCTTCCTGTTTTTCCCAGCTATGCTCAGTCAGTTCAGGCTTGCGAGGCTGCATTGCGCTTAGGTCATGTACTAAAGACGTCTTTTTCATTCTTAATTTTGACGAGGTGACAACCAAACTGTGACATGTACTTATCTGGCCATCAGCTCAGCAGGAAGCAGTGACTCTCGGGGAGGGAGAGAGAGAGAGAAAGGTTTCAAACCAACAGGAAATGCTTTTACGTGTCAGATGCTGCTGCTTCTAAGCCAAAGAACAATTTTCACGGGCCGTGCGCGGAAGGATACGGGGCCCTCTACTTTCCTTCCTGTACTTTCTCCTGTCTTACTAAGTGCTGTTAAAGACACTGTGCTCATGTGAACCTGCAATTTAAAGCAGCATCCTGGAGGGCTGAAGCAGCCAGTCGTTGCTTGGAGGATTGGGAAGCCGGTGAGAAGATATGGGATGTTGCAATGTGTGCGCCAGACAGGCTGGATCTGCAGGAGGAGGCCAGGATGTGATAGAGCTACTGAAGATAGGTAATAGCAGGTAGGAAGCAGCATTTTCTGGGTCGTGGGTGTAGCGTTTTGGAATCAGGTGGGTGCTTTTATTATGGGGATCTTTGCTGGACAGAGAAAGGTTTGGGACTCATAGATCTAGGTCAATCCCTTTCTCAGTTGAAGCTGCTTCTGCGTTTCCTGGTACTAGTCTCAGCATAAAATGGACCGCAAGTCTCCTTTCCCAGCCACTTTTAACAACTGTGAACAAACAACGCTGATAACACTAAATTTCTGATACCAGTAACCCACCTTACTAACTAAACTCACTAACAATACAGGGTTTGGACTGCCTCGGAGGTGTCTCTTGCTGTTGTGTTTCCTTTGAAATATCAGTATTATTGGTACCCATTTGTTCTGACCGTAACTTGTCTCAAGGCTCATTTGCCTTCAATCAGCTGTGGCTGGTGCCCGTCTACGACTTGCTCAGCCAAAACAAAAGACTCTGTGCCTCATTTCTCTTTCTTTTGGAAGCTGGAGGTGGTATTGCCTATTCCTTCCTAGTATCCCTTCACGTAAGGTGGACTTCTAAAATCATAGGCAAACCTCGAAGGACACCACTGCAATTTATGCCCCTGGATTCTCATCACACCACATTGTTTTCCTGAAGCAGTGGCAGGTCCCAGGATCCCAGAACATGCTGTTTGACTTTAATCACTTTGTTTCATGTAGGCCTTGCAATCACTGTCCACATTTTGTCTGAAACTGGTCACTTGAAAAAAAAAAAAGCTCCCTGTACAATGTCTGTGTAGGGCTGGGTTCTTCTCTAGGGGTGTTCTGCCAAATGCTATAGAGAGAGCATCTGTGACCACCAGATCTCTCTTAGATCTGCTTTCCTTTTAACATTTATACTTGAAACAACAGCCCCTGCAGCCTTAGACCCTGGGGTGTTTTCTGAGCCTCTTTTGACAACGGTAAGAAGCTATTTAAGGTCTGTCTCAGCTAACGCGAAATTTCCATAAACAACGAGTCAAACCTTTTTGCACACATGAATTGAAGCAGGGTTCAAGTTGCCTTCTTTAATTCCAGCTCTGTGGAGGACCACTTGCAAGTTATATTTTCCATGGAGGGCCACCATTAGTAGCAAATGTTCTGCTTCTTCTGTAATGTCATCCCAATGCTATCAGGCTGCTCCTGGGGGACCCGACTGCCCGCTCTGCCCCATATCCCTGACTGAGCACTGCCCACCACAGCTCCCAGTTGTCAGGGATGGTCTGGCCCTGCCCCTCATGGGAGTCAGTGCAATGGTTGCAATCCTGGGTCTTGGGGCTGCTCTTGCCCTGTGCAGATGTGGATCAGGATTGTTCCACAGCTGACTAACCCGAAGGTGCTCTGCCACCCTGGTGGGCCACATGTGGCTCCCTGGCTGACATATTGTGAACCTCTGAATGCAGGGCATCACTTCCTTCTCTATTTGGGTATACTGCTTTTCAGTTCCTGTGCTCATAACACCTATGCCACTACGCTCCTGTTTTGACCAAACTGCTATAAAAATGTGCACTGCAGAAATCCCCCCTTGGAGGCATCGATGGCCAACTGAATTTTGCATACACTGTCAGAAAAGTCCAGAACTAGGGACTTCCAGTTTTTCAGACATGGTTTAAGGTTTGCACATCATGATCTTTGCTCAGCAGTGGTCTCTGCTTGCTGGTTTAGACAGCTAGGTAAGATGCATCCCTTCCTGGTCTATGGACAGGTGTGCTGGTGATCGCCTCAATCTCCCAGAGATCTCCCTGCACACTTTGCAGTAGTAATTTCCCCCCCAAATGTTTCAGTCACCCTGAGTTGACATTTTTATTCATTTAGCTTTAGCCCAAAGTTCTTTCTAAAGCTGCCCAAAGACTCATGTTCTTCTGTTTTCCCCAATAATATCATCTATTGCACCCCTTCACTAAAAATGCACTGTGTTTTCTGGTGAAATACAGTAAATGCCAAACACAGGCTGAGTGGCATAAAATCATGCTCCTTCCTTTTCTAAGGGCATTTGCAGAACTCAGCTGTTGCCTCCAGCATAAAAGAAGAAAACTGTCATCAGGCCTTTCTTCCCCATCACTTCTGTCCCTGTCAGTAGTGAGAAATGTTTCCTTTTTTACCTGTTTTTTTCCCAATTCTTTTGAGTCTCTACAAAATCCTTTTTTCTGCAATGACCCAAGAGTATTTCCCACTCTGTTGGTTTTTCCGCTCACTCATACCAAGAGCAATGAACCCATATATCTACTTTTTTGGTCTGTCCTTTAAGTTGCAGTGGACTCTCCTAGAAGAATGAATCTGGGTGCAGCTGCATGCTTTCAGTGCTATGCTATGGTACCTTGACAGCTTCCATATTTCCTGAAGTTGCTTTCATGACCTTCAAATGTTTTAAGTCCTGCCTATCAAATGTGCTTGCTCTCGTCAAGGCCAAGGGCGTGATACAATAATGAGCTCTCTTTTCAGGTTGCTATTCTATATTGTATCTTTTCCAGTTTGTGACTTATTATATACTAGGGCTGTGTGAGGCTTTGGACCCCGATTCAGATCCAGAGAAGCTTTGGGGGTTTTGGCGTCTGAAGCAGCACATCTGGATCGAAGCGCTGGCTTCGTTAGGCTTTCCGAAGTGCTTCAGAAAAGCTTTGGTGATCTGGCCATAAGGTATAATGGAGAATCAATGAAATATCTATAACTTTGTTGTTTTTTGTCTGATTTGGATGAAACATGCAGGGATGGTAGCCTCTGCTGAGAGCATGAAGCCTGCCAAGTTTCAAGAAGATCGGGGCAGGGGTTTGGGGGGAACTGCACCTCAAGCTGCAAACAAGCAAAACTGGTGCTATGGGTGACACTGTGCGTGGTAAGGTGCAGCGGGGTGACAGCTGCAGGGATGGTAGCCCCTGCTGCAGCCACGAAGCCTGCCAGCTGTTGAGAGATTGGTGCAGGGGTTCTGGGGCCGGATCGAATAGCTGCCTACTCGCACAGGCCTACCGTATACCTAAGTTCCCACACTTTCTAACTGCATGAGCCCTGAAACCTTCCACTGTTTGTGAGTTTGAGGCTTCACTTGGTGTTTCTGTGAACACACTGGCTTGTGCACTGGTGTCCTACTTGTAAGTCATAGATGTCCCATTTACTTCTAGGTCAATAATCCATTCACATTCACCTTTCACTGCTTCATTGGCTGTTGCTTTTTGGGGAATTCATCTGCACTAGATGTGCTGTCATCATCCTGTGCATGCTCTGCCAATGCTTACAAACTCTTGGAAAGCAGCATGATCCATTGCATTTTTGCATGTGTTTGCATCTGCTGAATGTGGTCCTAGTTGGTGTTGGTTGTCTCTGTGGGGGTGCCTTGTGTTGCTCTTGTCTGTCTCTGGCTGAGTTCTTTCTTTATGGTTTCATAGTTTCATAGTTGGTAGGGTTGGAAGAGACCTGAGCAGATCATCAAGCCCAACCCCCTGCCATAGCAGGAAAGAGTACTGGGGTCAAAAGACCCCAGCAAGGTGATTGTCTAGCCTTGTCTTAAAGACCCCCAGGGTAGGAGCCAGCACCACTTCGCTTGGAAGTTGGTTCCAGCTCCTAGCCGCCCTGACAGTGAAGTAGCGCCTCCTGATGTCTAGTCTGAATTTACCCTCTGCCAGCTTGTGACCATTATTTCTAGTCACTCCTGGTAGTGCTTGGAGGAACAGGGACTCCCTCAATGCCTGCTGGTCCCTCCAGAAGGTCCCCGACTAGATCCTCCCTGACCCTTGGCCTGGGTGGCCTCCCCTGGGGCCTGAGGGGGGCCCAGTGTGGGGGCTGATCCAGTCCCTGCTCAGGAAAATGGAGGCAAAGAAGTTGTTAAATAGGTTAGCTCACACATCTAGCTTTATGGATCACACATCTTTTCTTGTTGTGTTTTTGGATCCCAAAAGTCACATCCAATGCGCCACAGCACTCCTCTACCCTGTAAGACTGAATCTGAACCAGGCAACTTACAGTGCTTAGCAAATCCTAAATGTTTTGTTTCCTAAATGGGTAGCGCCGGACTTTCCGATGCACTCTGGTCTCCCATCAGGGAGTCAGCTGTCTCCCCAAGAAGTGCAAGATTGCCTCCTCAGGCTCAGATCAGTCACAGACCCTGTATGGTTTCACCTTCTTTTGACAACCTCTTATTAAACATATAATTTCGAGGGTTATATTTTTATATGCCATGAAGTACTCCTCAGATTTCAGTGCTACAATTTCATGCTTCACTTCCTCTGCCAGGGCTAAATGGCAACTATTAAAAGGTGTCAAAGTCCTTCAGCTTTCAAAAATAAAGCTGCCTTCAGTCAGTGTCTCGCTTCCAGCTACCACGGTGTTGTATCACTTCGGCCTCTTAAAGGCTCTTACATCCCATGGGGTTTACATCTAGCAACCCTATGCATCTCTCTTTCTCCAAAGTTTCATTACAGCCCAAAGAGAGTACAATTCAGAGCAGCACTTTAAGGTGGGGGCAGGGAGATACACCGTAGAGCAGGGAAGTCAAGAGTTTCATTTTTAGCTTGTAGCTCCTTATTCTAGGGATTTTCCAGGTATCTTTTATTACAGAAGCCTTCCTGTTGGACATACGTGCATCTGTTGTAATAATGGTATTCAGGCCCCACAGCAGAAAACCCTTATTCAGGAATATTTGTATGGATACAAGTTGCAGTTCAGGTGCGCTATTCCTAGATATAACTAGTACATTCAGCAGCAATTCAGACGTGCTCTGCCTTGACATACCCTTTACCTTCAACAGTACAGCTTTTACATTTCACCTCAGTCTCCCTAGATTTTTTTTTAACAATCTAGTTGAAACAGCCTTGTCAGATATTAGCTTCCTGTCTAAGCATTAACTCCTTTAATGGTGTAACAACACACACAAATGCCACAAAATAAGCTAATAAAAGAAAGCTATGTGGTGCATCATCACATACAACACAATATATATTTTTCTCCACTCAAAAAGGAACTAGAAGCTTTATTAATATGCTAGGACCCTGGGGCTATACATTCAGCTTAAGACTGATGCAAAACAAACATAACTTTATTAGACTGTACATTAATTTACTATGTCATCTATTACGCATTAAAGAAGCCCAACAGACTAGGCAAAAAATAATCAAAAGATGTTGTTTCATTAGTCCTGTAGCCTTTAGAATTAAATGTGCATCGCCTTTTCAGATTCAGAAAGCAAATCTAGCGTTTTCGAACATCTTGGCAGCGCATCCAATGTTTCACTGAAAGTTATGTCCGCACCTGAGTTAACGTGCACCTGAGTTAACACTTCTAGCTAGTTAAAAGCAGGCTGTGAAATAAGGAGCCAGGGAAGTCAGAAGACCATTCAAAAGGAGGGAGGGTCATTAACACCTGAGGAATGAAGAGTTTAGAAGGAATGAGCTCTGAAGTCAAGTGGCTCCATCACCGCTGCACGAACAGCGATGCTGAGGCTGCTGCCAGGCAGTTGTTTTTAAACTTTGGCAGGACCTAGAATCGAAGACGGCTGCAGCTGCACCACTGCATCCCCCTGGGTCTGCCCCCGCATGCTCAAACCTCACCTTGTCCTCCTTCTTTCCGTGTCTTCCCCACCCCTGCTTCAGAAAATGGTCCATCTCAGAAGCTCAGAGTGAAAGCTCCCTCCATCCCAGGGAACCTGCGACCACAACCGAGACAGAAGTGGTGAGTCAAGTATGTGCAGAATCACCCAGCCCAGATTCACATGTGGAGTCAGGGTGGGAATTCAGAGCACATTTGTTTCAATGAATTATGGTGGTGTTGCTGTACGGATGTACTTCTGCTGCAGCAAAGTGCCTGACGTGAGGACGTTCCTGGTACAATCGATACATGCTTGGCTCCGAGGAGTCACAAGCCCATTCTGATATAATATGGTTTAGGGGATGATCTTCTCCTTCCAGTTTTTGACCGGTCATATGCTATTTCTTACAGAGCCTGACATTAACTGAAGAGGAAGATTTTCATGGGAGGAGCAGGGAACTAGACCCTCAGGTGAGTCTATCATCATCACCTTCATTGCCTGTGCTGCTGCACCTCCCAGAGGCTCCAAACACACTGAGGGTCTGGGCACCATCCCAGCCACACCTGTATGCATCCTCACAAGACCCTTGCAAAGCAGCAAAGCGCTGTCATCTCAATCACACAGATGTGGGCATAGATGAAGTGATTTTTCCAACTCACATGGGCATCAGGGGCAGGAACTGGGAACTGAATCGTTTCAACCACATGATCAGCACTCCCCCCTTATGAACCACAGTGGTACAAACACCCACTGAGCATCAAGAAGTTTGGATGTAGATTCAGCGCGGTTCCACCTCAAGTTTCCTTTTGGTTCAGGTTGGCCCATCCTAGGTAATAAGGAGAAGCATGGATGTGTGTGCATATGTGTTTTGCTTCCAGGGAGCAGTGCTATGGGGAAGAACACAAGAGGAGCTAAGGACCTTCCTGATCACACAGCCCGTGCAGGGCTGGGAAGGGAGGAACATCCAGTCCCTTGGGGAAATAGTGTGGTCCTCCCTGGTTCACCTGCGCAGCTGCCACATGGAGGTAACAGTCCTTACCCTATGGGCCCTCTGACTCTTCAGCAATATGCTCTCCACACTCGTGAGATGGAGAAGCTGAAATAAAACTGGGTCAACCAAGCCATGAACGGTTCTGAGAGCAGAGATTGAAAGAGAAACGTGTTCATTTTCCTTGCAGCAACCAAAGAGATTTCCTGAGTGGTTGCACCACCGTCCTGCCACGCTGTTGCCATGTCACATTGCCTCAAAGTCCATTCAATGCAATCAGTTCACAGCGGTTCCCAAAGAATCAACCGTACAGGGGTTATTGAGGCTCCTGTGCTGTCAAGAGGGTCTCCCTGCACAGACTAGAGGCAGGATATTCCTCCACTAGAGGCAAAAGCATGATGTACATATTGTATATCCAGACAGTCTGATCCAAGGACCTCAAGGGCGGTGGCAAAGGAGTTCATTATGTTTCATTTTGCCATGAATGGGCTGATCCTGCTCCCAAATTTGGTGCATAAAACATTGGGCTGAGCAAATGGCTGGGAGACAGAACCCAAATCCAACATATTGCGGGGGGGCTCATTTGGATTTCATTCCAGGTCTGCAGTTGCCCTTGAGGTCAATGAAAGTTTCCCATTGAATTTATTAGTGCCAGGCCGCCAGATTCATGGTGTGACCTTTGGCAGGTTATTTCAAGTTACTTCAAGTGTCTGTGCCTCAGTTTATCCATCTGTTTAATGGGGATAAATACAACCTCCCTGTCTTACTAGAGCATTGTGGCTACACCTCATTGGGGTTTGCAAAAGTTCCTGGAGAATCTCAACAGAAGGTGCTAGGAAACAGCAAAAAATTAACAACAAAGCATTTGCTGAATCCTTACTCGCTCTAGGATAATCCATAGCTAAATACCACATAGCTCATTGCTATCAACCAGGCTTTCTGCAAATCAGCCTACTAGGACTGTCTGTGCACAAAGGAGGTGTGTGTGTGTGTGTGTGTGTGTGTGTGTGTGTGGGTGTGTGTGTGTGTGTGGGTGTGTGTGTGTGTGTGGGTGTGTGTGTGTGTGTGGGTGTGTGTGTGTGTGTGTGTGTGTGTGTGTGTGTGGTGGCGGGGTGGGGGGTGAGGAGCTCGAGGAAATTTCGCCTCACTGTATTTTATTTTTAAAAGCTTAAACATTTGATGTGTTGGAACGATGATGACAATACCAGTAATAAACCTTATTTTAACAGGAGATGTCGGAACGCTACCTCGTGCTGTTCTCCTTCCAGCTGTTGATTCTGTCTGTGGATCACAATAAGAAGGCATTTGTCTATGAGGTGAAGAGCCAGATTCCCTGCAGATTGGACAACATGCCACTTCTTTGTCCTCTGGCACCGGTAGAAACCAAAAAACAAGGGAGTGAGCTGCAGGGCGTGTGTGGGCTATGCCCCAAAGAGGATGCAGCAGTCCCTGCTCGCTGCGACCCAGGAGATGTGTGTGTTTTTGCAGGGGGTAGGCTGGCGCTGGAGGAGTGTGCACGGGGCGGGGATAGTTTTAGCTGGGCAGAGGTCCTGATCCTGGGAGGCTATGGGCCTGGTCCCAGTGTCTGATCATAGCCAAGCCGAGGTGGGGTATGGAGCTCATTTCATTCCAGGACTAGGGGACACCTAAAGAATGGGACAGCTTGAGTGGAAACCTGGTGTGGTGTTGGATGGGAAGATTGTTAGGATAATCATCCTGCAACATGGATGGAGGAGCCGTCAAACAAAGATGATGAGATGCAGAAGTGGTGGGATGTATGCCATCCTCCAGTGTCTTGCAGAGGCAAGCTATATTTGCACAAATGTCCCCCGAAAGGGCTCCTCAATAAGAACAAAGGGTGCGGAAAATGTAGCTGAAAACCCTGGAGCTAAAACTGGATTTTGCAGATGTGGTAAAGGAAAGGTGAATACCAGGGACACTAAAAAGGGCCCAATTTCCAACAGACTGTGAATAAATTTAGATCAGAAATGACAAGAAAGCTCCTAGCCGGTGTTGGAGTGAGGCTGAACGAGGTAGGGAGGGCAAGGAATTGAAATTGTGTCAGGGCAGCACTTGATGAGTGCATGAAACAGTTAGGATGCAAGGGCAAGGGTGTTCTTGGAGCAGCAAGTGATGCAGTACTTCTACTATTAGGTATCACCGTGAGGGGGAGTTACGATCGCTGCGCAGAAAGTGTCTAGTGGCATAGGGCTTCTTGAAATTCCTGGTGGCGGGGACAGGATCTGGGGGCAGAGGTTGAAACTAGAAAGAGTAGGCTCAGGGTGAGATGGAGCCCATGATGGGAAGTAAAGCTTTGGGGCAATTTTGCACTGCAGCAATTGACTTGCAGATATTCAAGAGAAGATTGTGTTCGTGGATGTCTTGTCAATTAGATTTCAGAGAATCAAATCTGGCGTGTGCAACTGAGAAAACCTTAGCTGGTTAGTGTGGACAGCCCCAGCTGAATTAAGGTTTCTTCTTTTGCCTATCCTCTTTTCCTCTTGTTTTTTTTTAGTCAGGCTTACAGCACTTGTTGTACGAGTCCTGCAGTTCAGCATATTTGATGGTTGCCAGTAAAAGCCATGAAGGATTTCCCGCCCAAGCCCTGTGGGCGGGAAATAACTAATACATTTATTAATTGGCTTCTGGCTGGTTTTACACCTTCTGAGGAATCAGACCTTCATTCACCACATGTAGAGGTGGGGGAATTGGCCAGACTGTGCTAATGTTCCCAAAGACACAGGGGAACTTATGTGCCTGGTAGGTGTGTGTAATGCTTGTGGCCTCAAAGTAAAGCAATTACCAGAGATGAGGTCAGGAAGGAGTTTCCTCAGGTCAGACTGGCAAGGATGATCAAATGGGTGTTTCCACCCAGTCTGTTGCTGCTCCTTGCAATATTGGGTTTGACGCATAAGACCACCAAGCTATCCCTTCCTTGTACCTCTGTGGAGCAAGCAACTAAACGTCAGTAAAGGACCAAACTATCAAACTTCCTAACTATAAAAGGAGGGTGCCCCGGGCTGTGGGAAGCCAATGCAAAGGACATTAAAGGGTATCTGCCATCCAGGGCTGCAATCCCCAAGCTGTATGGGGTGCACCACCCTGGTTGGGGTCAGAGGACTGACACATACACATTAAGATGGGTGAGGTTTTCCTGCCCGTGGCAGGGGGGAAGATTAACATCATGAAAGACAGCTCCTGGGGCTCACCTAGCACTCTTCAATCACAGATCTCCACGCCTAGGTAAATTCTCAGACTATCGCAACCAACTATTACCGACACGTAGGTAAATTCTCAGACTTGCAAAAGGAGATCAGTGGCATTATCCCCATTGTACAGATGAGAGAACTGAGGCTAAGGCAGAGGGCATTTGCTGCCCATGGTCATTCAAGAGGTAAGAGGCATAAGTGGAAATGGATCCTAACTCTACTAAGCTGCCACCCACCCTGGGCCCTCCCATCAAAGAAGCTGCCCAGCTGTTTTTATTGGCATGAATAAGGGTAGCTGTCCGAAGGCTGGGGAAATGCTGGGGTAGAAGAGTGTAGAACGTGCCAGAGAAGACAGGGAGAGAGGTTATTCACACGATTGCTTTCTAACCAGGATCCCCTCCATCCAGGGCCTGCTTCCTCTTGCTGGAATGAACGTCAGGGAAGTGCAGAGGGATGGCAGCGGCATGTTTGAAATCACCGGTAAGCCTTTCCCCTACAGTCCGCAGGCACCTGCAGAAGGCTGAGCAAGTGGGATCTCCCCTTGCAGTTCCCACCCGAGGCAGACCAAGTGGTCGATCCTCCTGACTTCCTGTCCGAGGAAGATGAGCCCACAGGTCAGACGCAATGTCTCTGCTCGTAGAACCGGGCAGAGACCAGCTCAGTGCCCACCACCACAAAACACATGAGTTTGCTTCATCCTTAGATTCAGATGTGATCCCAGAGGAAGAGCCTGCCAGCAGGTTGGCTTCCAGCTCTTGGAATAAGGAGCACCCAGGAGGAATCTGCTTATCGGCTTCAACGGCTTTCCTTTGTTCTGCTTCCTCAGATCCCAGAGCTGTGTCTTTCTTTGCACAGGGCCCATGATAGAGTCCAGGATCATCTCGTGCCTCGCCTCAGCTGAATTCCACATCTGGGTTTTCAGCATGCAGCACCAAATCAAGATGGCAAATGCTCAGTGTCCACCCAGCCCCAGCAGCAATATTCCTTTCCTGGTGAGTCCACCCTGGAGGGGAGCTATTCCAGGGTGAATGGGGCTGGAGCAAAAACAGCGGTAGAGAGACTGGAGTCCTTTGCATATTCCCAGGGTGGAGTAAATACCACTCATAAAGACACTATGGCTAGAGACAGACCTTCAAAAAGCATGAAGCAGAATCAGTTTAAGTTATGTGGTGTCGTGTAAGCAGTGTCATTTCAATTGGTAGCAAGCAGAACACACATTCACCCTTTGGTGCAGGGAGCTAAATCTTAGACTGGGTTTTGCCCCTTTAAACCAGCCTATGCGAGCTGAACTTCTGTCCTGTTTCATGCATGGACTGGTTTTGTGTGCCGAGCTTCTCTTCTGTTACAGGTGTAGACCACTTTTGGATCACTTATCCCTGTGAAAGTGTAATGTCTGTGCCTGGCCTATGCTCCCTAGCCAGAATCATCCTTACCACCATGAGACTTTGCTACCAGAGTGAAACCCATTCGGTTGAAAGAGTTGGGTGGCTGGAGCCCGACACTTGAGGGAGATAAGATCTCATGCAATCATCCAGTGTATAAAGTGGAGGACACTGGAGACCTCTTATAAGTACAGTGTACAAGCCTGCTACCTGCTCTGCTTTACTACTGACATGTAGTTTTGATAATTGATCCATGCACAGGAGGCAATTTTGCAAAAACACTGATTTTTCTGGAGCCCCAAAGGGCTGTGCTGTGATTGACAAGCTGTAGGGAAATGATTAATCGTGTCAGAAATTCACCTTCCCTATCAGTTACTGTCACAAAAGGAAGACTTGATTTCTGGCGTGCGCTGACCTGTCCCTATACATGTCCTCGAGTGACGGAGTGAAGTATCATCGCGTGGCACCAGAGGGCAGGATTACATTGAAGCTGACGTTCAGGCAGTTAGTTGTAATGCTAAGGATGCCTGGGAGAGCTTAACGCTCTCAGTCATCTTAATCTTCAACCTTCTTATCTTCTTTCCACCACGTACTACCCTGCACATTTTGTGCTGCAGTTTCTGACCAGGAAAGTTTCAGGAACGAACCAGCCTGGTCCTTCACTCCGGCCTCGAGCCCAACTTTCTGAAACTTTGATTCAGTTGCCTCTTCTTCCACATGTCCACTCCCCAGCTCCCCTGCATTGCAGTACTCAATGGAGAGTAGCTTTTTCACCCTGACTTTATCACAAAGTCTCACCCTCCTGCCCCACATGCACATCCAGGCAACCCCGTGGCTGATCCTACTGTCCTTATGACTCTGACATGAGGCTGTGTCCTGGGGGTCTCTCCCCTTTCCACCCACCTGCCCCTTTGCCTCCTGGATTGAACAGAACAAGGGAAAAGGGAGCAGGTGCTTGGTTGGTGTGAGAGGGACTTGACTCGAGGGGATTTTTTCTGCAAACCTCTCTAAAAAGGCTGGAGGGGGGAAAGGTGGGGGGAAGGGCATATTCAAGCTTATTCCCCGTGTCATTTAGGGCCTGTTTCCATTACAGTCCAGAAGTGCAATTCTGCTAGTGTGGACCCAAGTTAGCTTTGACACACTGCACAGCATAGAAAACAAAACTCACTAGGACTCAGGGTGCCAGGTCAGGCAGCTAGTCCATATGGAGCAACATGCTTTGGAGGCTATGCTGCCGGCAGGCTAGCAAAGGCAGGTCTGGCTCGGATGGGCCTACCCAAGCTGCGCTCGTGCCTTTTAGAGGCTGGCCTGAATCAGAAGACAAGGCTCAAAGGTGTCGTTCAGATCAAGCCTGTTAACGTAGCTGGACAAAAGCAGAGTCTTGCACTGCAAGAAACATCCCTCCCAAGACTTGAGGGGTTGAGGGGAAAGAGAAGGGGTTAACACCACCTGAAACCTTTACCCCAGGAACTTATATTCTCACCAGTCGCAGTGCTTCGCTGCCTGTGCTGTATTTATTCAGACAACACCCCTGAGAGGTAGACAGCAGTGCTATTATGCCCATTGTACAGATAGGAACTGAGGCGCCTAGGCTAAATGACTCCCCCAAAGCGATACAGGAAAGGCATGGCCGATCAGGACTTAACTCTTGGTCTCCCAATTCCTAAACTAATGCCCTCACCAACAGGCCATTCTTCTGAGCTCTTCAAACCTATAAGCAGTTGCCACGTGCTCGGTGTTTTTCCGCTCTGAAATGTGCTGCGATCTGTCTCAAAAAAAGGTGCCTTGTGATGAGCAGTGGAAGAAACGGGAGCTGATGAAGTGCCTGCTGTGCAACCCCATTCTGAAGTGGGAAGGGACTCCCATCCAGCACCTGGGGAGGATACACTACGTGGCCATGGTGCAAGTGGCTAATGCCTGCATGGGGGTAACGTACAGCACAGCTGCACCTAAACCTCGTCGAAGGGCCCAGGAGGATCGGAATCGCTTGGGGTTGGGGCTTACATGGGGCGACTGCACGAGGCAGCTTGTTGCAGCTCCGCGAGCCATAGCTACGCGAGTGGATATTGAAACACACATCACTAGGCCACACACATACTGCGAGAAAACCAGCGTGACCCTGAAAAATAAGAGTCCCATAAGAGTCTTGCTGGGATCCTATGACCCCTGCTGACTTCCTGCCCCGGGGGCGGGGGCTGGACTTGATGATCCTCCGAGGTGCCTTCCAGCCCAAATGTCTATGAAATCATACAGGTGCCTTCCTTTGCGCCTGTATAGTAACTACTGCTGGCGATGCCCTCAAACACCCCAACGCAGGGGATGGGCGACCTACAGAAGCACATTAAGTGGTATGCTTTAACAGGTGGCTAGACCCACACAACAGGTTTTAACACCGGCCAGTTTCCTAATCATTCATGCCTTGTATATCTTCCTTCATGTGTGTATACAGTCGGGTGACTATATATTTTCCATACAACAAACACAAGGGAAAATTACTTGTGGGAGGTGTGATTAGATTGACTGTCACGGACTGCTAGAAAATGCTTCTGTGAAAATGGTACCCCTCCATGCCCACGTAACTACACGGTTTGCCTTCAGCTGAGACCGATATTCTGGGGAAAAAAAATTAACAGCTATGCTGCCATCCTCTTTTCTGCAGGACTTTGAAGAGAGGCTGCTGGTCTTGTTTCCAGAAGACCTGGTTTTCCTCTCCGTAGACAGAGAGAGAACAGGAATTACATACGAGGTAAATACAGATGTGAGTGGAGGGACTGATGGAAACAAAGATCAAAGAGTCTTTCCAGCTTGTTCTAAGAGTTGTTAGGGGGGATTTAATAACCACCCAAATGTGGCAGGCAGATGCTAGGGATATGCAATGACTCTGTGCCCCTTCTCCCCCAGTTCCAGCTGTCAGAGTACTTAGAAATCATAGAAGTCGGGTCGAAGGGACCTTGTAGATCTTCAAGTCCGACCCCTCGCCTGGGCGGGAGAAAAGACTGGACTCAAATGAGTCCAGCCAGGTAGTCATCAAGCCTCTTCTTAAAGATCCCCAGGGTAGGAGCCAGCACCACTTCCCTTGGAAGTTGGTTCCAGCTCCTAGCTGCCCT